TCAGTCAGTTTCCAAACAGATTAATTTGTTTGCTTGTTAACCAAATTTAAACTGTCACAGCATCTGGGGGCATGACTTGGGGTTTTTAGTGAGAGGCAAATAAACACCACTGTGAAGAAAACAAGTACACTGGATTAAAAAAGTAAAGGCAAAATAAGCATACTGCTGCAAAAAGAAAAAAAGAAAGCAAAAATATTTCTATTACCTCATTTATCTTGTTTTCATAACTGTTGGAAGTCATAATTGTAATTGAACATAGATTTGAGTTAGCTGCTCACTCCTTAGAAGAACTACAAAAAGAAACCACAGATCTTAATATTATGTTCTCAGATCGTTAGTTTAGACAAGGAGGGGGTTCAAACTATATTCAGTTAATGAGCCACATACAACTGAATTTGATCTCTAGTGAGCCACACCAGTAAAACAATTTCACAATAAGATACGTTCCTTTTAATTTATTAGAGTACAACTAAACATTTAACATTTAATTACCTATCGATGTGCAACACTGATGAAGAACAGCCAACAGTATCTCTCTAAAAGCACAAAACCTTCCAATTCTGAGTGTTTTTAAACTGAACTAATTTATTATTTTACTCTTTATGACTAAAAATTTGTCAAGATACAGAAATACTTTCAATTCCGATATAGTTTAGTGTATGGATTAAGCTGTAATGTAAAAATGGCATCACTTTACCAGGTCTAGAAATGCATTTTATTGAAAAATCACAAACATTAAAAATCTAAACATTTTTCTTGCTTCCAAAGCTATCCAGTAAGCTGGACTAACCATCATGGTCATTTGGCATCCAAAAAGACTAAGTTATATTTAAACACTCAGTTCAGTTCAGTTTTATTTCAAACATATACATTCACCAACATTTCATAAAATCTTTCCATGCAGTTGTTTGAAAAGTAGGCAGAAGTATATACTTATTTAGCCCTACCCCCTCAGGTTTACATCCTCATCATCTAAATTTGAACAACAAAAAACGTATACAATGCCTTCAACTTAGAACATAACATCACAAAAAAAAATTTTTCTCATGTTCAACTAAAACTATATTTAGATTTGCTAATTTGCAGAAGAAAATAAACATCAGTTTAACTTTTCTTCATTCTTATACTTATTTAAAATATCTTTTTTGAGTTTTATTTTAAACTGGTTTATATCACTACTGACCTTTATTTCTTCTTTTAATTCATTCCAGAATTTAACTCCCGCTATTGAAATAGACATCCTTTTCAATGTTGTTCTTACTCTTTGTAATTTTAAATCCCACTTCCCTCTAAAATTGTACCTCCATTCTCTTTCTAAGAACCATTTACTTATTTCGATTGGGAGCATCCCTTTCCTTGCCTTATATATTATTTGCACTGTTTTAAACTTCACCAGATCCTGGAATTTTATAGCTTGCGTCTTAATAAAGAGTGCGTTTGTGTGAGCCCTATACCCCTCCTGATTTATTAGTCTAATAGCCCTTTTCTCCATTATGATTATAGTCTGAATATTACTTTTATATGTATTTCCCCAAACCTCTACACAATAACTCATGTATGGTAATAGTAAAGCACAATATAACATATACAATGTTTTCCTATCCAGAAATTGTTTTACTTTCCCCAAGACAACAATGCCCCGTGCTAACTTTCCCCTCACAAAAGTGATGTGTGATTTCCAACAGGCCTTATGATCAATGATCACACCAAGAAATATTATGGTATTAACCCTTTCTAGATATACATTATCAACACAAATTTCAATGTTAATGTTTTTCTTATAGTTTCCGAATAACATAAACTCACTCTAATTACTCTTAGGTAGTATGGGCTATATAGTTAGTTAATAACCATATTAATAAACATTTATGAAGTCCATCACATTAATTTCAAAGTCCTTGATTTTCCCCTGTGTGTTTTTAAAATTCAAATTATGAGTAATGACTCAAATCATTACATCACCTATCACTGTCAGATATTTCGGTGTCTTGTTAGGATAAAGCAAGCATGACGTGATAAATAAAATATGAGGTCCTTAAATTATAAAATAATAATAAAGTTTACAGTTAAATACAGAAACTGGTTTTCAAAAAATCCAACGTCTTTTAACACCTACACTTATCAACAACAGAAATCCCCATGTGGTAACGAACCCATCGAGAGACCAAGCAGAACTCATATTTGTTAAAATCCGAAAAAACAGCGGATGGCAATAGACAACAAACTGAAAACGCGCGGTTTTCGCTCCGCCTGCAAAGATTTCGAGAACGGGCTCTCGCCTCCCGCTGAATTTACCACAACTCAAAACACCAGCTGTGCCTTTCGTTTCCAACAACACGAAAATACCATCTCAAATCAGCTTCCACGAGTTTACCGAGACCTATAAAGCGACCGTACACCCAGTTGCCGCTCTGAAGCAGCAGCAGATCGTAGCCATTGCTCGGTTAGAGCGCAGCTAGTACGCAGGATATGAATGGAGTCACTGCAAGCGGCTTGCTACATGCTAGCTAGTGTTTTCAAAGAGCTTTGCATATATATTTCGCTTATTACTCACAACACGGAGTATTTCGTAGCCACACTGCTGACTTAAAACTCTAATTTAACAAAACGTTTAATTTTAAACCACTGTTTTGCCTCTATTTACAGTCATTTTAACGCATCTGGGTTGACTTTCGTTAGCCTAGCTAGCTAACCAGCTAAGCCAACAAGCTATCAACAATATTGAGACGTACAGCTAGCTTGAGGCTTTGACATTCAAAACAAACCAGCGAGTGACACAATTTTAACACTCCTACTGCACAACGATGCCTCGATTTGACAAAGACAAGGCAGTATTGTCTGCTTTGAAGCGTAAACGCAATTGCGTAGCTAGCTATCTCTCCTTGTAAGCAAAATATGAGTTAATGTTGGAATACTCTTGGATGAGGGGGGTATGCTTGGGAATTCGGTGGAAAATGAGCATGTTCGCCGGTTCGTGCGGCAGCGTGGCGCTTCGATTGCGGTAGCTGTGCAGTTTGCGGCTCGCGTGCAGTTCGCGAATATTGCAGCTTTGTAACAGTTTTTTGGATTAATAGACAAATTGCTACATTGTAACAAACTCACCCGAGACGATAGAGGTGCAGGCAGCGCGGGGTCTCCAGGACAGCCTCGCACGGGCTGCTGTACAGGACCCAACTACAAGGCAGGAAACAGGAGACTTCCGGTTTGCCTGATTGAAATCTTATCCTCCTGCGTATACCGTGGCAGAACTTTTCTTTCGACGTGCTTGGCAAAGTTTTTTCGTACATTTAAACACATTTCTCAGTAAATTTGTCGGGCTGTTTTTGTTCGTAAAGCTGAAGTCTGAAATTTAGGAAAAAGGACTGGAGATTTGCAGCTGATATCACGCGAAAAGCTAACCCTTGATGTTTAAAAACGAAGTAAATAGCACATACCTGGAAACGTCTAGGCCTGATAAGACACATCCCTGATACAGCTGCAGTGCACTACTAAAAATTACTAATTTGTGCATACTTTAATATAAAATAACTGAAGTTATGCACTACTTTTAACTACTAATTATTTGTGTCCTATAAAACCTCGTCTTGTAACTCCCTAATTCTAATGTTCCTCCATTTAGGTATTTGTGGCTAAGTATAATTGGATTATAATTTCAAATAAAATACATTAAAATAAAATTTTTGCTACAGGGGGATTACACCCTTAGTCACGGATTATGCTATAAAGTGTTTATCAGTCAAAGTAGCCTAGTACAGCTCACAAAGCAAGCAGAAATAGTGTACCAGTTTACACAGCAAATCTGATATGAATTATTTGTCTGATAATCAATATTCATATATACATATAGGATACTTTAGTTATACTGAAAAGCGATAGGCCATATTGTATCATGTTAACTTTCCAAACAATGTTTAGTGTTCTGCCAACACCTGCTGAATGTTACAAACATAATCAGGTTTGCTCACCTGGACAATGTGGTGACCCTGAAGTATGCTGTTCAGCATTATAATGTGCAAACGTTTCTATATGGTCCATATCAATAATATTGTTTGAGCACTACTAAACAGAGACAAAAAGTAATTTCAAAAACACAAAAAGACACAAATCATATGAGTAATCATGTCAGGAAAATTTGTCAGAAGCTGCTACAAATAAAATCACAACTATCACTATTTTTTATCACCCATTTTGCATGGAAATGAAGGAAAATAAAAGGAAATGAAGAGTTATTCCTGAGTGTGTGGTCACTTCTTTTCAGATTGTATGTCCCTAGACTTGGAAAATAACCTCAACTCTGTTACACCTTGATGGCAGTTGCTGACTGATTACACTGAAAAGACATGCATGCAGTGCACTTGCATTTGTGGGGAACAGTTAACTGTTTTTATTGTTCCTCGTTTTACTTAATTACTCATTACCACCATTATAATTATGTTTCTTTTTATTCATGTATTTGTTTATTTTTCTAAATAAGCCTTGATTGTCTTGCTGTGTAGTAAAACTGTCAGGTGTGTGGGTGTGGGTGTGTGTGTGTTTGTGGGGGGAAGAGGATGGTGTTGCTTTGTATATGTTGAACTGTTTGATTGTTCTTTGTTAAAACTTTTTAAAAACATATTTAAGAAATCAGTGGTATATGCAAACCATGAGAAGTACCACGTGATATCACTTTAACACTTTACTGTGTTAATAAACATTAACATGTAATGTTACATGCAGTTCTCATGAACTGACTATCCATCCATCAATTTATTCTTAGGCTGATCACAAACCAAGAACCATTGTGCTGGATATTATAGCTTGTGGATGTAACTATTTGTGATTACATATGCATATTTTGTATTCATACTGTAGTCAATAACTACACTAAAACCATACGAAGATTAAAATGTAACTTTTTTGTTTTAACTTTTAACCGTTACCAGATATGACTAGTATACTGGATAGCAAAAGAGTGCTTGAATGCACCAGCAGCAGAAACAGTAGTGCGTCGGTGCTCCGGTGTCACGTGACAGAGGTGATGGTTACTTTGCGGCTGGTGATGTGACAAGGCAAGCCTGCAGCCACTAGCAGTGGTTAGCGAGTTTGTTGACTTTTACATTTATTCATTCTTTCTCAGAAACAGACAGATTGCCTGAAAATGGATAACAGCGGAAAAGAAAAGGAAGCAAATGCTTTGATGGCCGAGGCTGAAAAGAAAATGAAATCGTCTCAGTCATTTTTTGGAGCGTTGTTTGGGTGAGTCTGTCAGCTAGCTAACGTTAACGTTTGGCTAAAGGAGACAGCTATGCGGAAGGCTGGGAGCTGACCACAAGGGTTAAAAGCCAGGACAAAACGATTTTAAATAATTGTCGGCTGCTTTTATAAGTTGTAGTTAGTGTTTTGCGGTTATTTTCAAGGCTGTCGTTTAGCATATCTAGCTTATCTCGGCTCGTCGTATATCTGGAAAGCGTTTAGTGTGAAAGATAGCTGGAAATAGTCGGTAGTTGCTCATTTCAGACTCTGCTTTAACGCAGCTTTCATGCTAGAAATAGCTTCAGTTGAACCCAAAGCTGAATTGTTTAACAATTCAAGATAATTTCACTTAATTGTAAAGGCAGCGCTTCCCCTATAGCGCCGTCTGTTGGGCAATTTTCGGAAGGTCACTCAGTCCAAATCACGTGTCATTCACATTTGTTTACAGCAAAAGAAGAAAACGCGCTTGTGATGTAGCGAA